GACCTACCATTACTTCTCATGGAATGAGGAGTAACGGTAGTTCAGAAGTTCGAACTAGGCTCGTGGAATGAGGAGTAACGGTAGTTCGGACTAGGAAGCCTAGTCCGAACTACCTAGTCCGTGCCGCGTGTAGCACGGCACAGGGTTCGAACGAGAAGGGATTTCAAATTGTAAGATTGATTGTAAAATTCAAATCCCGGGCTTCATTTGCAAGTGCGGTATGCCTACATTACCCTCCTAGTTCGAATTAGGAGGGTAGTGTAGACATACCCTCAGAGTCCTCAGAGCTCCAGCAAATAAAGGTTGGGAACCATTATATTAGCTATAGGTTAATAATAGAATAATAATAATAGAATAATAGGACTGGAAGGGACCTTGAGAGGTCATCGAGTCCAGCCCCCCGCCCTCAAGGCAGGACCAAGCTCCGTCTACACCATCCCTGACAGATGTCTATCTAACCTCTTCTTAAATATCTCCAGAGAGGGAGATTCCACCACCTCCCTTGGCAATTTATTCCAATATTTGACCACCCTGACAGTTAGGAATTTTTTCCTAATGTCCAATCTAAACCTCCCCTGCTGCACTTTAAGCCCATTACTCCTTGTCCTGTCCTCAGAAACCTGTATAATCAAAGCCTGGACTGATAGGATCTAGTTTGGCAGTCTCCACATTTGGGATTTTGAGAGCTGGAATTCGGTGGAAATGAAAGTTTACTATTTACCAAAGTATATTATTTTTTGACCTACTATCAGATATGCAGGGTAAAATATCACTCTGACAAAAATAATTTTAATCACACTGACAAAATTGCAATTTTAATTTAACTATTTTTTTCATACGGCAGAGCTATTGTGTGGCTAGTATTGTTGCACTGATTTTTTGACAGTAGTCCAAATAACATATGTCTATGTTCAAATAACATGCCAAATTGATGGTGGACTTGGAATGAGGTCCAAAATAAATGTTGGAACTGCCATGCATTAGGGCTTTTAAAAAAAATACTGTGGCTTCCAACTCTAACTTGAAGCTAAGGCAAGAATCATAAACTGGGTTTCTGTCTGTTTGAAGTAACCCTTTAGCTTTAAGGCTCTTCCTCTCCTGCCCCTAACCCTAAAGACCTGATGTTTTATAGGATACTAAATAACAAGTTACAGTAATTGGAATAAAAATATTTTTCTCTCTAAATCTGTATTTGAAAAATATGTATGCTTATATTATTAGAGCTTCTCCATGTGAAGCTGAGCTTCAGGAATTAATTCATCAAATTGACATCATGGTAAACAACAAGAAACTTGAATGGGAAAGGAAGGTGCAATCTTTAGAGGCAAGAATGGATATCCGGGATAAAGAATTAGCAAATGCCCAAAGCAAGTTGGATCTGAAAGGTCAAGAGGTAATAACACCATCTCCTATAAGAAAGCATTTAACGGTATGAGTTAGTTAATAGCATGCTTTACAAATGTTCAGTTTATCACATCAGAATACAAACCCGCAAACTCTTGGCTATGTTAGCTCTGCAGAATTAATAGGAGTAAAAATTAACAAAAAATTATTTTTGTCACTAATGAAAAGATGTGATTTTTCTATACATACATGAAAGATGATTTGTGCAGTAAGGTGCAATTTTACCTTTTTCACTATCCACAATTAAAATGCCGCCTGTCATTTAGACAGGCCCAGGGTGGGATACTTACTTACTTACATTTTGTTGCCACAATGTTTATGAGTTTAATTTTACTGGAATTTTTGTTTGTTTGCTTTTGTTTTGCTTTGCTTTTAGTATTTTTCAGTTCCTTCATTTCAGGTACTGTAGTGCAATCTCTTTATCATGAAAGTTCAACCTACAAATGTAGAATATGTACACAAAAATGACTTCATTCAAAAACAACACAATATGCAACTTTTGAGCCTACAAGACTACTCAGTCCTACACTTCCTGTTCAGCCAATTGCTCAGACAAACAAGTTTGTTTACATTTGTAGGAGATAATGCTGTCTGTCCTTTGTTTATAATGTCACATGGAAGTTAAAGCATGTGTTTACATTGCATTGTTGTAGCCATTGTCATATTTATGTATCAGACGCAGTCAGGATTCATATGTGCCTTAGTGCTTCAATTGCCATTTCAGAAGACATGCATCCATTTTGATGATGAGTTCTACTTGATAATGGTCCAAAGCAGTGTAGATCAACACATGTTCATTTTCATCATCTGATTCAGATGCCACCAGCAGAAGTCTGATTTTCTTTTCTGGTGGTCCAGGTTCTGTAATTTCTGCATTAGAGTGTTGCTCTTTTAAACCTTCTGAGAGAACTTCGCTCTCTACAATTTTGGAAGTAATGTCAGATTCTTAAACCTTGAGTTGAGTGCTAGAGCTATCTTTAAAAATTTTACAATGGCATCTTCTTTGTGTTTTGTCAAATGTGCAGTGAAAGTGTTCTTTAAACAAACGTAATGGGGTCATTATCCAAAACTGCTATAACATGAAATATATGGCAGCATGCAGAGAACATAGAGAAGTTCACGTATTTGGGGAGCAGCATGACATATGATCTAGACTGTAAGAAGGAAATAGTGACTAGAATAGTGAAAGCAAGAGTGAGTTTGAAGGCGATGGGTAAGTAAAGCAATTAGCTAGGAACGAAGCTGAGCATCTTGAAAACGTGTGTATTTAGCAGCATGTTGCATGGATGTGAGACATGGGTGATAACAAAAAATTCAAAGAGAAGGATATTGGCATTCGAGAGGAGTTGTTATAGAAATATCCTGAGAATAGGATGGATGCAGAAGGTCACCAACGAGGAATTATATAGGAAGAAACATCTGAAAGAGAACCTACTGCAGAAGGTTATACAATGGAAGTTACAGCTATTCAGGCATATCTGCAGAATGAATGACGAGCGAAAAGTTAAGACCCTGGTATTCGGCATAATGGATGGTCCGAATAGGAGAGGCAGACCCCACAGAGAATGGGTAGATGATATAGTAGATTGGTGCGGAGCTAGTCTACAGAAACTAAGCTACTGTGCACTGGACAGGGAAAGATGGAAGGAAATAGTGAGGGAGGTATCGGACACCAACAGGCATTGAGCCCATGGTTGTTGATGATAATGATGATGATGATGATGTGGGTAAAAAAGCAGGAGACATACAATTCTCCCCCAAGGAGTTCAGTCATAGATTTAATTAATGCAATTTTTCTTTTAACGAGTGTCATCAGCATTGAAGTATATCCTCTGGAATGATGGCTAAAGCATGAAGGGGCATACGAATATTTAGCATATCTGGCATGTAAATGCCTTGCAATGCCAGCTACAAACGTGCCTTGTGAACATTTGTTTTCACTTTCAGGTGACAATGTAAATAAGAAGCAAGAAGCATTCTTTCCCATAAATGTAATCAAACTTACAAAAAGTAGGACTGACTGGACTTGTAGACGCTAAAGTTTTATATTGTTTTGTTTTGAGTGCAGTTATGTAAAGAAGTCTGCATTTCTAAGTTTCACTTTCATGATAAAGAGATCGCAATACAGTGCTTGTATGAAGTGAATTGAAACATACTATTTGTTTTATCATTTTACAGTGCAAATATTTGTAATAAAAATAATATAAAGTGAGCATGTAGGAGAGCAGAGAAAGGAGGGCCTAGTGTCCGAAGGATTAAAGAAAGCCTCTGGGCTCAGCTAGTTTCACCCTGCTTTACCTGCAACCAATGCCAGGCATGGATAGGTGGAGAAAAGGGAGGAGCTTGACTCAGTTTGAAGCTAACTAACAAGAAGGCAGAAACCCAGTTCAGTGGTCTAAGGACATGAACCAGAGCCTGTCCACTCAGCAGCCATGGGAGCAAGTAATACCCCACCCTACTTTCTGGGAAAAGGGGGGAACCTACTAAAAAGCCCCAACTAAGAGGAATCTGGACTCTTGGTGCCATGCCCCAAACTTAAGGACTTGAACAGGGAGTGATTCAGTGTTCCTAAGCCAGGATCATAGGGTGCAGAGGGCCAGCATCCACCCCCTCTTCCACTTGCTTATTTAATAACCTAGTCACGAGGCTACTCAGCCACCAGAGACCTGGCCACAGAACACTATAAAGTTTGTATTCTGTGTTATAATTTAAATCAATATATGTGGAAATTTAGAAGAACATCCAAAATATTTAATAAATTTCGAAGTATATTATATTTTTATTAGACAATCTTTTTAGACAATCTTTCTATTAAGCCATCACCGTTCTTGTCTGTCTGTCATGGGATTTTCAATTTACCCCTCCTCGCACACACCAGCTGCCCGCACAAGCTCTCGCAGGCGTGCTCTGTCACCTGGCTCAGCTGTGGATGACGCAGCAAGTTGCCCCCACCAGCTCCACATCCCTACCCCCCTGGCAGGCTGTCCCCACCAGCTCCAGCTCCCTCGGCAGGGGGCCC